AACTTGAGAGGGGACTTCATAATCTCTAGGTCCAGCATACCCAGACCCCACACTCCTTTGGCGTGAGTAGGAGGCCCAAACAGGTGGAAGATCCCCAGGTGGAGCGGAAACCGACATGGAATATGATCCTAGTGCAGTTTACATTTTCACAGTGTTTACTAAAATTTAGGAACAGAAACATGAAGTTCAAGAAACACACCCAATCTGGCATCGTAGGGTTCGTAGGGTAACATAATATAAAGTGGGAGCCATAGAACAGGAGGCACACCTGGAATTACGTCCGGGCATTGCAGAAAACTTCAGAGAAAGCATATCCCCCAGCTGCAGCGCCTGGCAACCTGGGTGGAGAAAGACACGGGATGCCCCTTTCTCAGGATGGTTTCTTGCACGCATTTCGTCGAGCACCAGCCCTGCACCCGCAGGGGGTCATTTAGTCGAGCACCACCAGCTGGGCATTCCGACGGGGCCATTTCGTCAAGGACCATCGGGGCGCTCTTTGAGCGGAGCTCGGCCTGCTTCACTCACCTCCCGCGGCTTCTCGCAGTCCGGCCTGTCGCCGTTTGTCTCCAGTGCATCAGCACCGGCAGCCTTGGCGCTGCGATAGGACAATGAACTCTAATCTTGATTCAGGCAGTAAATTAAGCCATGAGAGCGAGCAGGTCGAACGCAGGAGTCCATTTCTCACGATCGCAAGCTGCATGCAGCAGATTGGGTTCTCGATCGCGATTGCTGCGGCAACAGAAACTGTGCTAGACTCTGCAAGCGGACGACATAGGACGACACCCCTGCTCCGGTGGCCTTATCCATCGAAAGGAACATCGAGTATAACAAAATGCTCCCATCGAAAGAAAATAAAAATAAGTGCTCCCTCTGTCCCATGATATAAGAACATTTTTCACACTACACTAGTGTTAAATACGTTCTTAGGATGAAGGGAGTAGAAAGTAAAGCTCGTGCTTGGCGGGCGCCCCTATGTCTCGCTTTAAACTAGAGAAGCCTCGCGTCGGGGGAGCCTCAGATGGGCCGGCCCAGCCGCGCGGGAGGCCACGGCCTGTTTTTTTTTCTCTTCTCGTTTTCTGCTCTATTTTTGTACTTTTTTATACTTTAAGATATTCTACACACACAAAATTCTTTAAAAACACATTTGAGAAATGTTGAACAAGTATTAAAAATGCTGAACAAGTATCTGAAAATGTTAAATAATAAGTATTGAAAAATGTTGAACGAGTATATGAAAATGTTGAAAAAGTATTTAAAAAATGTTGAACGTGTATTTGAAAGATGTTGAACAAGTATTTGAAAAGTGTTGAATAAACATTCAGACAATGTTGAACGTGTATACAAAAAATGTCAATCACTTATTAAAAAAACTGTTTTTGACATATACGAAAATGTAGAGTAAAAACGAAAACATACATAAGAAAAAATAAAGAAAAAATGGAGAAGAAAAAAGAAAACCGGAGAAGAAATAAAAAAACTAAAAAAACTAAAAAGGGGAAAATAGAAAAACCTGGTGTTTTCTCTCAAGTAGTTCGCATGTGCTATCCTAACGCGAGCCCAACCCTAGCGCAATGGGTAGAAGCACGAGGAACCACCGTGTCGACCTGGGTTTGATCCCTGGGGAGTGGGTCGTGCTTTAAGGATGCATTTGGTTGAAGGTGTCATATGAATGGGTTGGGACCGTCCAATTTATTTGGGATTGAACCATTCAATTCATGCGTTTGGCTGAATATAAGAGATGAGCTAATTATTTAGGACGGGACCACCAGTCATGCTCACATAGTCATGCATGCAAAGCGTGGCCATTTGATTCGACCGATTTGGTTGGGTGGAACGGTTCAGCATCTTCAAGGCATATTCTCTTTTTTTTACTTGAACCATTCATGTGCTTTATAACCAAACATGTCTATTTTTTGAACGATCCCAACCCATTCATGACCACCCTTGTAACCAAACGCACCCTAAGGCTGGTCCACGAGCATAGATTTTTGGTCCAGCAAGTGTCTAACACAACACGTGAATATAAGGATACATGCTTACGAACGTTAATCAATAAAGCAAGTGTGTTTGGATTCAAAAATAAAATAAAATGAGCGGGTAAGTACGGTACTCATATCAATAAACCACGCTCTATATTTGTGGTTGAAGAGGATGACATGCATATTTTTCTTCTCTTGCCCCTATGCTAAAGCAGTTGGGTTCTCTAAACCCTGGTTTATTAGATCTTCTTACAACATCACAGGTATGTGCCGGAAATTATTCAGGCCATTCTAAACTCTGGGCACTCCCAAGCCTCTATGTGCACTGTCTTACTTTCGAGGGTTTCCTTGAGTGAGTTTGGCCCGCTTATGGGGCGGGTGGCGTTAGGGTGAAACCTTGGTACGGTCGTTTTACACCCAATGGAAGCAAGACCGTCCTTATATATAGATTCCAACCTTTTTTAGTCTCCCCATGTATATGATGGAGTTACATATCTTACCGAAGCGGTTCATAGCTTGTTTGATAAAGATCATTCCCGATTATTCTGGCAAGCGATGGCCGACCGATAGAAATATCATATGATAAAGTGGGTTGACATTTGCATGCCAAAGGACTTGAGATGGGTAGGCATTCTAGCGTCCCATCGCATGAACGTGTTCCTTATGTTGCGGTGGGTCTGGCGGATAATTCGCCTGGACGGAGGTTTATGGTTGCAGCTTATTAAAGTAAAGTACCTTAGGGGCCAGCCCCTGCTTGTATGTGGATGTAGGGAGGGATCCCAATTTTGGAGGTCCATCCACCACATCAAGCATGAGATTCGCCTGGGGTTGTCCTTCTCGAATTGTAATGGTGAGGGGACCCTATTTTTGGCTTGATCCATGGGTGGACGGGCCCCATTATGTATGGGGTCAAACTTGTT